TCATGGCTGTCTTGAACCTTTCTGTCTGCATAGCCACACAGCTGCCAACTTTCCCCAGGTCTTCTGAAGCCAAGTAAGGCTGCGAGAAGGATCAAAACAGCCTGTCTTCTTGAAATATTTTAGAAAGATTTATTACTCCTCGGTGATATCCAATACTTTGAGAATACAGATTATGAATCCAACTGGAAAACACATTTTTCATTTTAGAAGAAAAAAATATCCAAACAAGTGTGTCTGTGGCTATTTGCCCTGAATTTAAAAATCTTTGTATCTCTGCCAGGCTCTGTGGCCCTGGGCAAACATTAACCCTCTGGGCCTCTCCATAGTCTCAGCTGTAGAAAAGGAATTAGATAATTCAGACTTCGACCAGTGCTTGTGAGGATTAAAGGAGATGTAATTGTTGAACAATGAAAAGTTAAGGGTAATAAGAAGGGGCAAGACTCACAATTTTCTCTTTTGGTGTCCCCTCCATAGAAACCTCTAGAATTTGCCAGCAATGCGGTATTGTTTGCCATCCAACTCAGTGCAGGCCTCCCACGTGAGTGGCAGGGACACAAGTACTTGATGCATCACCTGCTGCCTCCCCGGGTTCACATGAGCAGGACGTAGGATTGGAAGCAGGGGAGCCAGGACTCAAACGATGCGCTCCTATATAGGATGCAGGCATCCCACGTAGCATCCTAACAACTGTGCCCACTACCCACTCTTGGTGGATTTGATTAAAGACCTTGAGATGGGGGCCTATACTGGATTACCCAGGTGGGCCCTAAATGCCATCCCATATATACTGACCAGATGAAGATTGGTCACAGACAGGAGAGGGCAAGTGACTGTGATGACAGACCCTGGAGTGATGAGACCACAAGGCAGGGAATGCTGGCTGTCACTTGAAGCTGGGAGAGGCAGAGGAGGGAATCTCCCCAGGGCCCCCAGAAGAAGCCCAGCTCAGCCTGCACCACTTGGTTCTGATCCTATGAAGCTGGCGTGGAACTTCTTTTCCTGCAGAACTGAGAGAGGACCCATTTCTGTTTTAAGTCACCACGACTGTGGCAATTTGTCCTGACAGCAAACAGGAAGCCAACACCCGGTGGCCTGTACATGTGCTGTAATGCAAAGAAAAGAAACAGGGCCTGGGAAGCACCTCCAAGATGGTCAGCTGTGGCTGCTCTGGGGAGGGGATGGAGATGTCCACAAGTGCTCTGGTTTCCCTAGCATCATTTGGGTTTTCACGGTGCTTATCTACTCGTATGCACGTGTTGTGTGTGTTTTAAAATAGCAATAAAGGCCAAATTAAAACCGTATCTCATTGGGACAAAATGTAGGATCTGAATTGCAAAATTGCAAAGAAGCATCAGGTAATGGCCTCGTGGGGTGACAAGGCTCAGGCCCACTGAGGAGTCTCGGGTGTACCCCGTAGAATGTGTCTCACAAGGGAGGAAGAGGACGTTCCTGGCAGAGGGAACAGCATGCGTCAGGGTTTGCAGACAGAGAGGCTGGCACTGTCCAGAACTGAGAGTTTTCTAAGGTTCAAGCCCCAACAGCATTTAGAACTTCTTGAGAGGGGCTCCGAAGGCTGGAACCCAGGTGGTGGGGAGTGGGGTACCGAGGAGCAGGAGTGGGGGCAAGGAGACCAGTCAGGGGCTGCGGCAGGTGTCTGGGGGGAGTCAAGGGGGCCACGAACGTGGGCTGACCCAAGAGATGTGTAGGAAGAAACATTTGCAAGACCGAGACATAGGGGGCAGAGGAAAAGGAGGAAGGAAGGGCAGGCCCAGGTTTCTGGTGTGGGCACCTGGTGGACAGTGCTGCCTTGGGCCTGATTGGAAACGGAAGCAGGGGCGTGTCTGGGAAGGGGAGTGAGACGATGAGTAAACTATGAAGTACGGAACTAGTGGTTGTCTGGTGGTCCCCTCTCCTCCCCTCCGACCCTTAGAAATCCAACTCTGGGGGCCGGTGTGTGGCACAGTAGTTCAAGCTGCTGCCTGTGGTGCCGGGCATCCCATATCCGAGCACCAGTTTGAGTCTCGTCTGCTCTGCTTCTGATCCAGCTCCCTGCTAATGTGCTTGGGGAAGCAGTAGGGGATGATCCAAGTGCTTGGGTCCCTGCCACCCGTATGGGACAGTCTCCTGGCCTTACCCTGGGGAGCGAACCAGCAGATGGAAGATGTCTCTGTCTCTGTCTCTCTTTCTCTCTCTCCCCCTTTTATGCCCCTCTGCTTTTTAAATAAATACAAGTAAATCTTTTTTTTTTTTTTTTTTTTAAGAAAGCCAGTTCTCATCATGCACCATGACAGTCCTGGAGGGTGATCTCAGGATGGCTGCTCAGTGGCTTGAGCAGCTGAAAACTGTGTGTTCTGTACGTGCAGCAGGCGAACAGATCTTGTAGAAATGTACAGAAGGAGCAAGATCCTTGGAATTTCCAGGGCTGTTAGGTTTGCCTCCACCCAGGGCTGGGGACACTGAGAATGAGGGCTTAAAGATTATTTCGTCCAACCCAACCCGCTGCAGAGGAGGAAGCTGGTCCTGAGAGTAAGGGCATGTGGCCAACACACACTGCCGTCGGCAGGCTCCTTGTCCAGTGCGCAACCTCCCGCTCACACTGACTTCCAACAAAGAGGGGCCAGGAAGCATCCGGAGCAAGGGATGTGGGGGTGCTGAGAGGCAGGAGAGACTGGGAGAGCCAGGGTGCAGGTCCTGGTGGGAAGAGGAAGCCCTGGGGATTGTTCAGTTCCTGCTTGCTGTTTTTGGTGTCTCCTGATGTCCATTGTGCTGGCAAGGGAAATGTGGTTCCTGCAGAAACTGCCACTCAGAAAGTCGCTGAAAACACAGGTAAATGACAAAGTACACCAGGGGGCCTGGCTGCCTCCTGCCTGGTGGCCACTGAGCTGGGGTGAGGGGTGCTGTTAATTGTAGAGAGAAGGGAACTCCAGCATGATCTCAGGCCTCTTGGGCTGCTTGGGGCAGGAGCGCCCTTGATCCACAGCTCAGCTGTAAGGGGAGTGTAAGGTTCTGCAGAGTCCCACAAACCCCCCAGGTAGGCTGCAGCTGCCCCTGGCCCAGGCTCAGAACTGGAACCAGCAGCTTCAGGAAGCTGGGCCAGGTGCTTCCTCCTGTCTCCATGGCTGGTTTGTGCATCTGTTTCCCCGTCTCTCCCTGCAGGTTGGCTCTCAGCAGAACATGGCCCACTGCTGTGGCAGTGGCAGCTGAGCGGCCACGGGCCCTTGCTCTCTGGTTGATGAACAGAAAGGGTTGACCTCAATAGCTTAGCACAAGCTCCCAGGGCTGGGGGTGAGGATCTACCAGCCCAGTGTGGCGCGGGGTCCAGAATGGCTCCATTCCGATTTGGTCAGGGGTCAGGGCTCTGGGACAAATGTGGCTGCTGGGTGCATTGTAGGGGACAGGAGTAGCTGACAATGAACCTTACCCCCTCCCCGCCCCCGCCCCCGCTGATCCTGGGAATCGCCTTTCATTACAAGGGAGGTTTGTGAATACAGTCACATGCATGAGAACCATGCAACCTGATTTGTTTTGTTGGCCTGGTTTTCTTAACATGGGAGGTCTTACATGCCTCTGTCTGCCTCAATGCCTTTTCTACGCATTCCAACAACAAGTCTTGCACTGACATGACATCAGAAATCTCTGAGAAGTAGCTCAGGTGTTTGACGCACTGGTTGAGATACCACTTGGAACACCTGCATCCCAAGTCAGAGGGCCTGGTTCTTGTCCCGGCTCCTCCACTTCCAATCCGGTTTCTTGCTAATACTCACCTTGGGAGGCAGTAAGGATGTCTCAAGAACTTGAATCCTTGCCAGCCACGTGGGAGACCTGGATTGGGTTCCAGGCCCAGCTCTGACTTTTTTGGGCATTTGGTAGTGACCAGTGGGATAGAAGATCTCTCTCCATCTGTGTCTATGCCTTTCAAATAAAAACAAATGTAAAACATTTCCAAGAAATTTCTGGTGAAGTCAGTAGGCAAACAGGGTTTCTGTAAAGGAAACTATGCTCATTCATTCTGGTAGTCACACATTCATTGATTGTCCTTGAGTCGAGGGATCTGCTGGGAGGTATAGCATTGGAATACAGGCTCACAGTGGGACACACTCTGCAAGGCAATGGTTTAACCAGCTTGTGGCAGCTCTGCTCCCATGTGGCGGCACAGGCACCAGGCTCCTTCCTGCCACTGCTCCACAGTGCCTGAGAACAGTAGCTCCCACACTTGCACCTGCATCAGCCTCACCTGGAGAACTGGCAAAAACACAGTCCCATTCCTGGACCAGTCATTCTGTGATGGAGGCCTGGGAGTTTGCATTTCTGACAAGTTCTCAGCTGATACTGATGCTGCAGGTTTGGGGACCGTGTGTTGAGAAGTCACTGCACCCAGAGTGTATCCTTGGTGACACATACAGACCTGGGGCTGCCATAGCCATGTGCCAAGCTGCAGAGATGGGGGAAGCGGGGAAGGACGGGGCAACCAGTTGCCTTGGAAGCAAGCAGGGAGGACAGAGGAGGCCGACTCTCCTTCCATGTTCAAGGACTTGGTCACATGGCCCCCTTTGGGCTGCAAGGCAGGGTAGACAAGGTCATCCTTAACTGGGCTGCCACATGGACAAATTGTAGGGACACCTTGGGTCTCCTGGGATCACTGGAGATGAAGGCAGAGCAGGCAGCACTTAGTGGCGGGGAACAGATGCAGAAAGAGTCCCTGGTGGCATACAGTGGCCAGTGTGACAGTGGCAGTGATGGGGGAAGCCCAAGTCTGCAGGCATCAGCAGGGGCCACCCCAAAAGGCAAAGCAGGCCGTGCTTGGGAGCATGAGCGTGGCTGGCTGGGGTCACCCGTTTCCTGTCTTGAGGGCAGCTCCTTGGGCCATCCCTCCCCCCGGCTGTTCTGTTTTCAATCCCCTATGAGCCAGGGGTGCTCCTTTGTCATGGTCCTCGTTGTATTGTGGGCTGAGACTCACGCCTTCCCAGGTCTCAAGATCTCTTTGTCTGTCCCGTCCCCAGGTACCTTGGCCCTGGAGAAGGCTGCGTGGCAAGAGACGGTCGGTGGTAGCGTTCTGCCTCTTGATGACACTGTCTGCGCTGGCTGTCACCCGCTTACCCCCACAGCATCCAGCAGCCGGCCCACACCCTGGCCCCACGGAGCCCCGGGACATGACTGACAACTCTGCCCCTCACACACGTCAGGCTCTGAGCTCCAGCCAGAGGCAGCGGGCGAGGAACCTGGGGCTCTGCAGGGGCCGGGCTTTGCCCAGGAAATCCAGCTTGGTCTGTGTAGAGGAGCAAGGCCACAGAGCGCGGCGAGCGGACAGAGGCAGGCCGTCCCCTGGAGGTGACAGCAGGCATGCAGGCAGGGTCAAGAGGGGCATTGCCGTGGCAGATCTGGCATTCACGACCCAGTATATTGTTCCCCTGAGGGAAGATGAAGTCAGAGATCCAGGCGCCCAGGGCCTGGGCCACCCCTGGCGCAGAGTCCCCATCCCGGACGCACCAGGTGAAGCCAGCATCCAGGTGGGCCCACTGGCCACAGGGAGCAATGTGGCAGCTTTACAGGCCTGGGAAGCTACCACTGGGCTGGCCCTCCAGCCCTATCCAGCAGAAGACAAGGAACTTCCAGGAGCTCAGGACAGAATCTCGAGTGGTGGGTCCCCGGCAGCGGGTCCTACCCTGGCCTCAGGGGCCCGCAGCTGGCCTGATTCTGTTGGAGAGCTTCGAGGGTCTGCATGGTGTGACAGCGCAGGGGTGATGAGCAGCTCAAACACCAGCGAGCAGGTGCCCCCATGGCTCACTGAACACGATGTGCAGATCCTCCGCTTGTTGGCCCAGGCGGAGGTGGTGGGCAAAGCCAGGGTCCCTGGCCATGGGCAGGTCCTGCAGGTTGGCTTCTCCATGGAGGGTGCCCCTCAGCGGGACCCGATTCCTCCCAGACTCAGCCATCTCTGCCCCCGGGGATTCTGCGGCTTGATCAAGAGGCCTGGGGACCTGCCTGAGGTCCTGGCCTTCCACCTGGACCGTGTGCTGGGGCTGCGGCGGAGCCTGCCTGCTCTGGCCCGCCGCTTCCGCAGCCCCCTGCTGCCCTACCGCTACACAGACGGAGGCACCAGGCCCATCATCTGGTGGGCACCTGACGTGCAGCATCTGGGTGACCCGGATGAGGACCAGAACTCGCTGGCCTTGGGTTGGCTGCAGTACCAGAGCCTGTTGGCACACGGCTGCGGCAGGCCAGGCCAAGGCCCCTGCCTGGGCATCCGTCACACCGAGTGGGCACGTCTGGCACTCTTCGACTTCCTGCTGCAGGTAGGTGGAGTGGGGTGTGGTGGGGTGCAGGGATGGGGAAGTCAGAGGTAGAGGCCTCTGGTGCCCACTGAGGAGGGTGGTGATGCTCCCCCTAGTCCTGGATTTTGGTCCCCAAGCACCTGTTTTCTGTAATTTCCCTGACAGCTTATCCAGTGATCTGCTGGAGCCAGCTCTTCCAGCTCATGAGAGCTGACTGCTGACTTCCAGGTTGTAGGAATTTTGAGACCTGGTTGTGACTCACGAGCACTGTTAAAACCGAAGTTACAGAAGCTAACACCCTGTACCAGAAAGCAAGGCGTTAGTACTGAGAAGCAGTACTTCCTGATTATTTCAGTGTTACCTGTGCCCTTGTGGTGATGTCTGTCCGGTGTATGTGGGTAGTGCTGATTACTGTGTGACACCGTAGTGGTGCATCCTGTGTGATGCCATCTCATGAACACTGTGTCTTTCTTTTTTCTTTTCCTTTTTTTTTTTTTTTAAAGAGATTTATTTATTTATTTGAAAGGCAGAGTTACACAGAGAGGCAGAGGCCGAGAGAGGTTTTCCATCCGCTGGTTCACCCTCCAGGTGGCTGCAACAGCCAGAGGTGAGCTGATCCAAACCCAGGAGCCAGGAGCTTCCTCTGGGTCTCCCACATGGGTGCTGGGGCCCAAGGGCGTGGGCCATCCTCCACTGTCTTCCCAGGCCATAGCAGAGAGCTGGATTGGAAGTGGAGCAGCCAGAACTCAAACCAGTGCCTGTATGGGATGCCGGCACTGCAGACCAGGCCTTTAACTCATTGTGCCACAGCACCTGCCCCAAACACTGTATATTTTTTTGCCAACTCCACATTCAGCATGTGGTTAGCTTGCAAAAGGTCAGAGTGTGAATATTTATGCTGTGGAAAGCAGCAAATGCTACAAATTAGGGTTTCCCTCTGCTCCCAAAGAGCTGAGGATTTAAGATGATTTGTATGATTTAAAAAATAAAGTGAGGGGGCTGGTGCCGCGGCTCAATAGGCTAATCTTCCACCTAGCGGCGCTGGCACACCAGGTTCTAGTCCTGGTTGGGGCACCGGATTCTGTCCCGGTTGCCCCCTTCCAGGCCAGCTCTCTGCTGTGGCCAGGGAGTGCAGTGGAGGATGGCCCAAGTCCTTGGGCCCTGCACCCCATGGGAGACCAGGAGAAGCACCTGGCTCCTGCCTTCGGATCAGTGCGGTGCGCCGGCTGCAGCGGTCATTGGAGGGTGAACCAACGGCAAAGGAAGACCTTTCTCTCTGTCTCTCTCTCTCTCACTGTCCACTCTGCCTGTAAAAAAAATAAAAATAAAAATAAATAAAGTGAGGGCTGGCATTGTGGCAGAGTGAGTAAAGCTGCCTCCTGCAACCCCAGCATCCCATGTGGGTACCGGTTCGAGTCCTGGGTGCTGCACTGGCAATCCAGCTCCCTGCTACTGCACCTGAGAAAGCAGTGGAAAATGGCCCAAGTCCTTAGGCCCCTGCACTGAGGTGGGAGATCCAGGTGGAGTTCTGGGCTCCTGGCTGAGCCCTGGTCTTTGTGGCCATTTGAGGAGTGAATGAGCAGATTCATTCATTCATTCATTCATTCTCTCTCTCTCTGTAACTCTTTCAACTAACTAAATCTTTAAATAAATACATAAATAACAATTTTTAAAAAAGTAAGTGTGAGAGACAGAGACAAAGAGAATAGGAGCAGGAGAAAGAGAGAAGGAGAGAAAGGACACTGGTCCCTGGAGGAACGAGAGGGAACTCCAGCCGCAGGGGTGCCGCGGGCGTGGGGCGCCCAGGGATGAGTGTGCTGCTGCGGCTCAGCGGCAGCCTCGGTCTCTCCTAACCGGATGCTGACAGCCAGGGTGGCAGTTCTGGCGCCCGTGAGCCGGGTGTCAGCCATGGGTACACATGAGTGGAACACGGCCAGAAAGAAATACAGACAGATTAAGTACAGCCCAGTGAGCCAGCTCCGTATGGAAGAACGAGGTCAGTGCCGGCCCTTGGGTTGATGGACAGAGCTGAGTGGACAGGCCACAAGCCACCGCCAGGCTTTCAGGGCTGATATGCCGTGCTGGGGCCACCCAAGCTTGGTTCTCAGTGTGTTTTGGAAACTTCTTAAACAATTTGCAAGACTTTGATTTGCCATAAAAATCCTGCTTCCTTTGAAGAATTAGTAGCTCGGGGCCTTAATTCCCCCACAGCAATACTCAGCCTGAGCCTGTAGCTGCTGCCTGCCCCCTCAAGTGGCCGCCAGCCTCTCTTCCTGGCCTCAGGCCCTACCTCCTCATTGTCTGACATCAACGGGCTCCCCTGCCTCCTCCTCTGGGCTGTCCCCTGTCTGCCTGTGATGAGTTCATTTCTGGTCCCTGAGTGAGCTCATCTCTGCACTTTGTGTCCTTGTGGCTGCTTTGTGGTGGTCAAGAGCAAGGGCTGTGGTGTCAGACCTGGGGTTGACCTCTCCATGCCCAGGTCTCCCCACCCCCACCCCGGGTGACACTGAGCAGGTTCCTTTGCTGCTGGCAGCTTGTACAGTGGTACTGCGTGTCCCAACCTCATCCCCTTGGGCCTGGCTCTTTTAATGCGTGGTACCTTCTAGTTGCCTGCACCTGTATTTGCAAGCTTGCTCTGGGCCCTGGAGCCTACTATGTCCTAAAAATACCTGGGAGGCTGAACGAGCACCCGAGTGAGGCAGGAAGGCTCTCCCAGACTGTAGGACACTCAGCGCTGGGGCTGGGGGAGGTGGGGTCGTGCTCAGCCGTGACTGATGGGAGCCTGGTGAATGTGAATGTCAGACTTGCATGTGGCACACATCTTGGGTTTCCCAAGCAGGAACGCAGCCCAAGAGCTCCAGTGGTCATTGGTGGCCTTCCTGGCCTCGTTGCTCCTACCTGTGGGTTTCGGCGCCGGCCCACACGTCAGCTGCTTTCAGTTGAACCCTGGTCTCAAGGTCTGTCCTTGGAGCAGCCCAGCCCCCTGAGCTTGTGAGGCTTCTGCACACGAGGTCCTTCGTGGAATGTGCCTGGGTCAGTGCCTGGCAGGCAGCACCCCCTCGGCGGCAAGTGGACACCATTTCTCCTACTTTACAGGAATCAACTCAGCCAGGCCTCGCTGACTTAAAGTTGAGTGAGAATGTGAGGCCCAGAGAGGTGAAGTTGCATGCCCAAGGTCACGGCTGGTGCCCCGGGACACAGCCTCGCTGGTCTGATTCCAAAGCACCTCTCTTTGTGTCACCGCTCAGCTGGCCAAGAGTGAGGGCAGGGAAAGGGGCTGCTGGTCCGGAAGCCCTGGGGCTTTGAGGTGCGAGGCACAGCTCCTGCAGAGCCGCTGTCTGCCTGCCACTCCACACAGAGCCGCTCTGTTCCTCTCCGGGGCTGCAGCATGGGGCTCTTCCCTGGCTGCAGGCTCTGCCGCGGGGACAGAGTGTCTGTGGCCAAGCACACACAGGTGGGGTGGGACAGCACAGGGCTGGGCTCGTGCCACGTCTTCCTCGCTGTGCTGAACACCAGTCAAGTCTGGCTGCCACTGTCCTCCTCCAAACCACTGGCAGGCTGCAGAATACGGGGGTGTCTGCACGGGAGCCCCAGGTACAAACTCTGCATACAGCCCTCTCTGGGTGGCTGGGCTTGCTCAAGTCTTTGGCCTCATCCTCCTTGTTTTTCTGTGATTGTGTTTCCCAACGCACCACTAACTCAGACCCACGAGTACTGTACACACATCCACATCTCTCCTACCGCCCACAAATCATACCTACGCGTCACAAATCCACCTGGCGCTCTGTGTTAGTTAGTGATTGCTGAAATAACGCCGTGTGAGAACCTCCCCCAGACTCCATTGCTTAAAGCCCCAGCCCTTTATTTCTTGCTCTAGGGTCTGTGGGTCAACGAGGCTCACCCAAGCGTAGTTCCACGCTGTCGGCTGTGGTCAGGTCTGCTCTGCAGTTCTCTCCCTGGGGCCCAGGGTGAAGGAGCCGCAATACTCAGAGCGCGTTCTTCTCAGGGCAGGGCGTGCAGGAGCCCAGGAGCTCCACCAAGCTGCAGAAGCGTATTTAACTCCTCTGCCAGTGTCACATCTGCTAATATTCCATTGGCAACCCCACTGTCCAAGAAGGGAAGTACACTCTGCCCGGTGAATGTTTTTTGGACAGTAATAAAATCATGCACACCTCTACCCAAACAAGTATGGTATATAGGAATTTAGTATGCTCAGATGTCTGTAGTAACACACACACACACACACACACACAAACACACCATTCACACACACATACACCATGCACCCCACACCCACTCCATATGGTACCCAGACATTGCTGAGGACAGTTGGGGCTCCACCCTGCTGGGTCCTCTGGGGGCCTTGGAGTTGTCCCACCTAGTGTGCCAGGACGCTGCAATATTCACTCTCTAATTTCCAGCCATCATTGGTGGAGAGCACTCCCAGGGCTGTTGACTTCCTGTCACTTGTAGCCAGAGGGGTCTAAGGCCGAGAGCCACAGGTCCTTGTTGTGGAAAGCCATCAGCCTGTATGGACACAGTGAGTGCCAGGGTGGTGCAGGTGCAGGATACCAGCACTGCCTTCCCGCACTGGCACCTTTCTGCTTGCGTCGCGTAAGTGCTGCTCCTGAGAGGATGTGATTGGCTGAGCTGTGAGTGGGCCGTGTCAGCCTTCCTCTAACTTCTGCATACAAAGGTGCACTCATGTCCCAAAAGCTGAGACCCCAGACACAACAGCCTCTTAACTTGTCTGTCAGCCCCTGTAAATACCCCTCAATCCAGTCTCCTCCTGGAAGTCCACCTAGTTGTCTTGGTTTGGGATTCCCAGAGGTGGAGTCTGAGACCAGGGGGCAGGTGGGGCTGGTTCAGCCAGCCGGGGGAGTGAGATGGGGGAAGCAGCCTCTTGTTTTCATTACTGTGCAATAGTTCTCTTAGAGTCACTCGTCAAGAAGCTTTCTTTAAAGTCCTTTTGCTGTGCACACAATTTTTATGCAAGTTTACATTATTAGAACGATCCAGCT